GTGCATACCAAAGTGGAATATCTTATAGCTATGGAGCAGTACAATACAAGTAAATATAAGGAACCTGTAACACATAGTTATCATACTAGGAAGGCTGCACAGGGTAAATTTGTAATACCAAAGGTTAGAAATTACTATGGGAAAAGGACTAGGCAATATTTGACCCCATTAATTTATAATAAAGTATCTTTCATAAGAAATAATAATGGTAACCTAAGTACATTATCTTTAAAAAAAAGACTAAAGACGGAATTTTTAAATATGTTAGATACATAAGTATTAAAAAAAAAAGAAAAGTTAATTGTTCTAGACATAAGAAAAAACTAAAGATAATATGTATTCATTAACAGTATAGTATTTATATAGATTAATAGTAGTTATAAGTAACTTTATTGTATAATATAAGAGCGCCACTATCGCCAACAAACTGTTATACAGTTTGGCGATTTTTGATGTATTAGCTAATTTATGTATATTTTTTTGTGAATAAATACGTTAAAAAAAAAAAAAAAAAAAAAACATGGGACTGTTAACATAAATAGTGAAAAGTGGGTGTTACATTGTACAGTGGCATTAAGTGCCGTATTGTGCACCTCGGCCTACCTCTTCGGGGATAAAAGGCGTGATGTTATGTTATGTATTGAACAGTCGAAATAATTTATTTTTGACTAAGGAAAGCACCCAATAATAAGTCGCGTATAAGTATATTTCTGTCACTACAAATTCATTGTAAAATGACAGAGATGGCACGATACTTCTTTCATTATTCGTGGGTGAATCTCATATTTCTTACCAGAATTCATGCCATTAAGTCTGTCTCTCAACGAGTCCTGAGTGTGTATGTTTGGTGACCGTAGCTGTTCTGCTGTGGGCGTCTTACTTCTGATGACGTTGTTGTTTGGTGCTGTAATAGAAAGGAGTTGGAATGTTGATAAATTTCATATTAGTTGCGTATCTATGTTTAGTCTTGTAGAGTAGAGTATTAGCAAAGTTAATTTTAATCTAGTTTTTGTTAGCAATTTAATATATTGGCTTGAAAGATTGTTTGAAATTGAGCAAATGAATGATTCGATTCGAAAGCGTGTGAGTTAGTGAGTGAATGAATTAATTGGAAGTGTGTGATTAATTTCATCTAAACTGTTAATATTTTATTGGTGGCTTGTTCGTCCGCGAGTCACCAGGGGCTAGTCGAATACCAGCGCAAGGCCTTATCTTGCACATGCTGAACTGGTCCCATTTCACGGCAGACTTGCGACGTTAACATATGTATTTATCAGTACCTACTAATACAATGTTTTATTATATTTGTACACGTCACTTGTTTTTGGCTTGAAATCAAGTTTTTTTCTTTCTTCTTTCTTTCTGATTGAGTGAGAGTGAGTTTTTTTAAGGGTGTAAAATCATCGAATGAATGTTCCCGCCTGGGTGAGGCGGGACGGAGTGTCAGACTATCACTGACTAAAAACCACTCCGTTCTTTCTGCTGCTGTGTGTTCTCCTGTGTGTGTGTGCTCCTGAATATGTTAGTTAGAGGTCTGAGTGAGTGAATGAATGGAAGACTTAATGAAAGAATGTCCCCCCGTACCGGGGCGCGGCGCGTGCCTGGTGGCGGAGCGCGTGCGCGGCGCGGGGCTGCGGCGCCACACCACCAGGCGGCTGGCCTGCAGCGCCGGGCACTCCTTCAGCACCTGGGAACGACATCGGGATACATTACTCACTTCCAACTTTAACTTTACGCTCAAAATATTACATTAGTCTATAGGCTCACCCCCCTATTACATGAGACTCATAACATAAATACTAATAAATAGTGAAAAGTGGGTGTTATATTGTACAGGGGCATTAGATGCCGTAATGTGTACTCCTTCGGGAATAAAAAGCGTGATGTTATATTATACAGGGTGTAAACGGAACACTCCCAAAGTGCCGACAAAAAAACAATTTTACAATTTTAATCGTTTTCGTTTTCATGTCATTCATACAACATCAGTCTTGAGCAGTTGATTACAATTATTATTACATAAAGTAAAATATTTAATTCCTCACTTTTATGACAATAAAACTTGTTTTTACCGTCACTTGTCGGCGTTTTTTTGGGAGCGTTCTGTTTACTCTGTATTACATTAGTCTGGGAATCTTCATGCTTCGGCACGAATGGGCCAGCTCTCACTCCTTGATGCAAGACAACGTGACACATAGTAGATGTGACATTGATGCTGAAAGCCCAATCCCCCACCCTTTCCCCAATGCCTAAAAGGAAATCCTATGAAGTTGTAGGTTGTCCATGGGCGACGTCGATTGGTCACCATAAGGAGATCTGTCAGATCGATTCCTATGCTCCTGATCACAAACCTGCACAACATGTTGATGTGGCGCGTGTCTGACGTCTGTGTCTCCGATCTGCAGCAATAAGTCACCTTCCCGTAGACCTGCACACCTGCTGCGGTCCAAAACCTGGAAAGAAGGGAATGGTTATACATAAATTACATTATATTTATAACAATCTACTCCCTGTTTATATTATCTCACAAACTAGGTTTTCCCGTAACAGCAGAAGTTAGTTTTTATTAAAATTTCCATATAACAATTAGGAAAATTATTAATTATTAACAAAAACTACGACACGTTTTCGTGCAGCAGCTTTGAACAAATTAATGTTATAGCGGTTACAGCCACTGGTCTGCTCCTATTGATAATAGCGAGATGTTTCATAGCCCACTTTATAAAAGCATACTTTTCTGTGATAAATAGACTCTGTCAAACACAAAATAATAATAATTCTGGATATTTTTTTTTGTCATAATTTAAATATTTTTTTCTTAACGTTTTAACTATATTGCACTAACCGCCAGGGTAGTACCTACACGGCAAAGTTGAGTTAACTTTTTGCCGTCAGTCAAAACAAAAGACAAGGTAAAAACGATAAATACCTTTTTGACCTTCTGGCCGTGTACGCTGTCAGCGATAGTGAAGCCAAAGCCAGCCGCACCACGCCGCAGCGTCAGCACCAACTCCCTGCCAGGCTCGTTGGACGAGCTATTGTCAGCTCGCGACTGATGTTCTTTAAAAAACCATAACAATACGCTTTATAAGTAGATATGATATTTGTATTGTAACTTTCGAGAGACATACTAAATAAATTATTATGTTTTCGGCTTACTCACGTAATAATTTGACGAGGAACTCGACTAGTTTCAAGCCATGCTAGAGGTTCATATTCATGAGTAGCATTTCGCGACCCGCGACGCGGCGACTGTCGCGCGTCGCGGTACCTCGTCAAATTATTACGTGAGCAAGCCGAAAACATAATAATTTATTAAGTATATATGATTATTAATTTCATTTCATATAGGGTGTAAACGGACTCCCGATAAGCTCCCATGGACGTAACGAAACTCTCAGTAGTAGCACAGAGTCTGGAATTGTGCTCGGTACATGGCAATAGGCTCACCCCCTATTACATGGGCACATAACATAAATAGTGAAAAGTGGGTGTTACATTGTACAGTGGTATTAAATGCCGTACTGTACACCTCTGCCAACCCCTTCGAGAATGAAAGGTGTGATGTTATGTATTATTTTTAATATATAGCCAATCTGGTCGATTGTATACCAACATTTCTCTTTTCATAAAATATACAAAAAAAACAATTTCTAAATTTCCACTTACTTATATTTCTCTCTTTCTGAAAAGTGTGTCAGAGTATTTAACAAAATCTATCGTCAATGCAAAAAACAAGATTGCACTAAAATAAAAAACAATAAGCTTCCTTGTGCGTACTGCTAAGGAGTGGAATCCTTTGCCAGAATCTGTATTTCCTGATAGGTATAACCTGGGTGTCTTCAATGCCCGAGTGAATAGGTTGTTTTGCTGCCCGAGTGAATAGGTTTAAACCGATTGCTTTGAATTTTTGCAGACGTAAAGTTAGAAGTCTGGATTAAATAAGGTACTTTTTATCCCGGAAAACTTTGATATTCCCGAGGGAAAGACAAAAGTATTGGTATAGATGGCGCTGTGTGTATTGGTATATGTCACATAGGCTACTTTTTATCCTTTTGTGACGCGAGCGAAGCCGCGGGTAAATGCTATAAAAAATTAAAACAAAACAAGAAAATCTTACCACCAGCTAAAGACAGTACATGATCAAGAGATGGACACCGAGGCAGCTCCTGGTTATCATCATGTATGGTCAGTTCATCCAAGTCAAATGACCTAGACATCATTCGTCTCTGCCCTGGACTATGTGGAGTGGGACCGTCCACTTTGTCCCTCCCCTGGTTGGACGACTCGTGGTTGGGCGAGTCCAAGTTGAACCTAGAATTGTGCATAGATCTGAGTATTTTTTAGATTGTTCTTCATACGAAGGTGTTGAGTTGAGAGCGATATATATTTAAGTTTTGGTAAAAATAACATGGTGTTTTTGACTTCATTTTCGATCGGGACTGAAAATCAGATCGTTTTAATTATTATTTTTTCGGCTTACCCACGTAATTATTTGACGAGGAACTCGACTAGTGATAATTAATTTAGTATGTCTCACTAAAGTTATAATGTAAATCAAATCGTTTTGTAACAGAATCCAATGTTTGAAATGAAATATAAGATTAAAATATTGATTTTTTATGGCATAAGACGGTAAACGAGCAGACGGATCACCTGATGGTAAGCAATCGGCGTCGCCCATGGACACTTGGAACACCAGAGGCGTTACAAGTGCGTAAGCGGCCTTTTGGTATTAGGAATTTGAGGATTGTTGGGGATTCAGGAATTGGTAATTGGGCCTCCGGTAAACTCACTCACACGATGAAACACAACGCAAGGGTTGCTTCACGTCGGTTTTCTGTGAGGCCGTGGTATCACTCCGGTCGAGCCGGCCTATTCGTGCCGAAGCATGGCTCTCCCACACTTATATTGATGTATAAAAAATAGACTCAACTCGCATAGTATATAGTAAATATATGATATTCACCTGGTCCGCAGCGCTCTGGTGAGTTGTTGCATGGCGACGGCGTCGGAGGTGGCAGGAGTGGTCGCGTCCACTGCCAACGTACTCAGCACGCGAGTGTTCGGGTCCTCAGAGTCGAAGGACAGGGGATAACCTGCAATAAAAAAATAATATGTAAAAAACTTTTTATTTAAACAGCCTGTAAGTGCCCATGGACACCTGAAACACCAGAGGTGTTACAAATCCATTACCGGCCTTTTGGAGGTTAAAAATTTGACGATTGTATTGAAAAGACGAAATAATTTATTTTTGATCAAGTAACATAGCAGTAATAATAATTACTGGGTGTTTTTAAAAAATTCTCAGCAGTAGCACGGTGTCTGGAATTGTGCCCGGTATATGGCAATAGGCTCATCCCCTATTACATTGGACAGATAACATAAATGGTGAAAAGTGGGTGTTACATTGTATGTACATAATGTGCACCTCTGCCTACCTCTTCGGGGATAAAAGGCGTGATGTTAGGTATGTGTAAAATATCCAATTGGGGATAATAATTATGTGTTTTGTACAGAAATCAGATAAATATTGATAGTCACCTCTAACAAGATGCAGTGTGACCTCAGTTCCAGGTGTAATAGACTGGAAGATTTGAGCTACGTGAGCGTGGGAGAGGCCTCGCACTCCTCGGTTGCCTACTCCAACCACCACGTCACCTGGACGAAGGGCACCTGGAAACACAAACAACGTGTTAATTAATATCAAGATACTAGCTTCTTTATAATAACTGGCGTGAGATATACTAATTAACCAATAACGGTTGACGCGTGTAAAAGATAGAACTACATATTTGAAGATACTCCTACAAGACACCGAATACTTCTCGAAATTAAAAATCTAATTAGTCCGTCACTTAGATAATGAAAAAATATTAGACGCGTATTTATTTATTTTCTCGTATTAATTTGCAATACTTAGATAAAATGGAGTGAAGGTTTTTTTACCCTATTGTCTCAGATACTTAATTCTAGCAATTTCTATCATGATTTTGCGTTTTATTTTGGATCCTACAACTTTTACGCCATATTAATTATTGTCGAAAAATGACTTGTAGTAAAAATAAATCAGAATTATTTACTCGATATTAATACTCTCAATGACTTACCATCAATCCAAGCCGGGCTATGGGGCACGATGCTACGTATTTGAAGGTAGCCCTCCGTCTCAGGTATACCTTCAGCTCCGATCAGCGTGAAGCCTAAACCCTGAAAATATTAACGCACACTGAGATAGTATAGAAAGCAGTATCAGTATCACTACTTAGTATAAAACAGTTGCTTTCTGCTGTCTGTCCCTATGTATGCATATATATTGTTTTGTATTATATCAAGAGCCTATACAACATGTAACGTAATTAACGCACACCCTCAAACACCCCAATTAGAATATTATGTTATTATCATAGTACATACACTAAATTTTTAATTTAACACGTATATGCATCCTTACTGGTCTTGTCATAAGGTTTATTTTTCTTTATTTTGTATTGAATGATAGAATTTGTATGAATACAATTAAAACTGCGATTTTAAAAGTCTTATTGCTTTGACTTACGGTCCATTTCGATTTGTTTTAACAATACAGGGTTAATATGACAATAATTTCCGTAGTTTTAATTATTTTTGGGATAAAAAATTACCTATACTAAAAATTATATAAATCGATTTAGTTAACGATTCTGAACAAACTATTTTCAGGATGTGCGTTATTTAAGTTACACGTTGTATGTGGGCACTGCTGATCAAAGGCTTCTTCTCGCACGGAGAAGGTTTTAAGCATTAATCACCACGCTTGCTCAATGCGGGTTGGTGATTTCAAACTTATAATTAGAAATTATAAGCCCAGGTTTCCTCATGATGTTTTCCTTCACCGTTTGTCAGTGGTGTCTAAATAATCTTAGAAAGTACAAATGAACTCGGAAAAAGTCACATTGGTACTTGCCGTTGGTAGGTTTCGAGCCCATGCATGAGAAGCGGTCGTCTTAAACCTCCGGGCCACCACGACATTGTATTGTATATTTATGGATTTTGATGCGACTGTTTTAATAGTTAGAGTATAATTCAATAATCTAAAAATTACGCAAAATATATATTTTATCTAAAATATTATTACAATTCCAAAGAATAATGAACTCGTCGTCATGGTTGCTGAACAGGGATAAACGGGGTCAACCAGAACGTTACGGTTCGTCTCCGACGCAGTCCGGAAACAGGACACTTTTTAAAGAAAGTCCTTCATAATAGTTGTTTTGACAAATGTATTGTTTTTTTGTGGGTTAATCATTTAGTTTATATAATACTAGCGACCCGCCCCGGCTTCGCACGGGTTCAAAATGCATGTATTGTACTAGTACGTATATAAGAATCACTATTAAAAAACCGCATCAAAATACGTTGCGTAGTTTTAAAGATCTAAGCATACATAGGTCACTCAAAGAAAATCCTCAAATATATCTTCTAAGAATTGTAAATGGTTCTAAATTTAAAAGGATCCTTTATCTAAAAAGCATATTTTACACGCGACAAAGCCTTGCGGCATGAAAAGGTTGGCTCGATCAGGATCCTAGGATCATACTACGGTCAATTGTGACATATACCAATACACACAGCGCCATCTATACCAATAATTTAGTTTTCCCTCGAGAATATCAATTTTTTCCGGGATAAAAAGTACCCTGTTATTTAATCCAGGCTTCTAACTTTACGGCTGAAAAATTTCAAAGCAATAGTTTAGTAGTTATGGTGTGAAAGCGGAACAAACAAACAAACAAACTCACTTTCCGATTTATAATATTAGTAAGGATGAAAAAGCAAATTGCTCGAGTTCAACAACCGCTCTAAGAACAATAAAAATCATTTAACCCTGATTCATCACCGGATATCATAGAAAAGTAGCATACTAGTTTACCTGAGTGCCTTTAGTGAGAGTGAGAGTGAATCTCTCGCCCCGAAGCTCTCCTGTGGGCGTTGGCCCGTTAGATGGGCCGGTGCCCCCATTCTCGGATGACAATTTCTCCGCTGAAACACAATTATTCATAGTTGTTATTGCTTTGTTAATTACCTTATTTTTAGTTCTGTTCTGACCTATATAGGAAAGGTAAAATCTTTATCATAATCATCAGACATTTGCTGAATTCAGATTGGGGTTTTCAAACTTATAATAATAGCAAATTATAAGTCCATGTTTTCTCACAAAGCTATAAGTATGGGTGAGCCATTCTTCGGCACGAATGGGCCGGCTCGACCGGAGTGATACCACGCACTCACAGAAAACCGACGTGAAACAACACTTACGTTGTGTGATTGAGGTTATCGGAGGCTCAATTACACCCCCAATATCCCCGATTAATCCACAATCCTCAAACACCTAATCCTCAAACGGCCGGTAACGCACTTGTAACCCCTCTGGTGTTTCATGGGCGGCGCCGATCACTTAGCATCAAGAGCACCTGACGGCGGCTGACGGCCTAGACGTATCAACGTCTGCTTGTTTACCGGCTTATTCCATAAAAACGATGTTTTTCTTCACCGTATGACATTGTCATATTAACGGGTTACCAGGGCTCTAGCTTGCAACAGGAGTAGGAACGGGGTGGTTTTCAGTCAGTAAGAGTCTGATACTCCTTCTCACCTCTCCCAAGGCGGAAGGAAACCTTGGATGATTTTTGATACTTTAACGATGTAACGTATCATAAACACGATTGCATCGTGATGTTAAGCTTTTAGCAAAAGGTGATTGGCATTTATCACGATTTTTTATATTGTTCACATAATATATGACGTAATAAAACAATAGGCTAACTACTGGCCATAATAGGTAATACATAACATTGGACCGAGTATAAGGTTGCGTTACGTGTTTTGCGGCGACATACAAAAATCACCTACTTTTAACAAAATATAAAAAAAAATAGTTAGGCTACGTAGCGACTGTCTCGTTGCTACTGGTGGTGGTGCCAGTTTGTAATAATAGCAGCGCGAGTCGCGGGTCGCGAAATGCGTGACATAACATCACGCCTTTTATCCCCGAGGGGTTTTTTTTTTAAAGGGGGGAAAATCATCGAATGACTGCCCTGGTGCCCCGCCTGGGTGAGGCGGGAGGGAGTGTCGGACTCTTACTGACTAAAAACCACCCCGTTCCTTCTCCTGCACGTCGAGCCGGAGCCCCGGTTACCCGTTAGGTTCTCCGCGACTCCGAATCGGCATCGGCCCTATTGGGCCCCATCTGTGGTGGTCTGATGGCTCTTTGAGGCGCGCGCGGAACGCGAAGCGCCGTATGCTCGGGTCTGTTTCTGGTCGGACGGGGAGCCACCCATGCTTGCCGTCCGCAGGCCCGCGCTTACGGTGGCCGGAGATCGTCCCGCGATCCCCGACGCCCGGTGTGTCTTTCGCGATGGCATCCCCGAGGGGGTAGGCAGAGGTGCACATTACGGCACTTAATACTGTACAATGTAACACCCACTTTTCACTATTTATGTTGTGTGTTCCATGTAATAGGGGGGTGAGCCTATTGCCATATACCGGGCACATTTCTAGACTCCGTGGACTACTGGTTTTTTTTTAATCCTGTATTACTTTGCCCGACCTGGGAATCGTAGTCGCACTTGCGACCACTCTACCAACGAGACAGCATGGAAATTAGTGTGTATAAATATTCAAAGAAATCACTACTGCCATGGTTAACTGAGTCCGTATATTACAGCTTTTACTTAACGACACCTAATTAACAATTCTTTGATGAAATTGTCTGATCAATGCTAATTGGTTTAGTATGTGATAATTGCTTGCTTCTTGATAGTAGCAGAAAATATATTTGTCACAATCCCTAGTCCTCCCGCGGGGTCGTAAGAGCCGGCTAAGAGACTACATATATTCTAATAAAAACACACTATAATGTGTGTCAAAAATAATTACAAAACGACAATGTTGCCTAAGACTATAAAGTTTAAGACTGTTTAAAATCTCCGCAACTACTGGTTCAAATTTAATAATACTTTTTGTGTCGGATAGTCCATTTATCGATTACGGCTATAGTGTATATGCTATAAAATATCACAAAGTGTGGGAGAGCCATGCTTCGGCATGAATGGGCCAGCTCGATCGGAGTGATACCACGGCCTCACAGAAGACAGACGTGAAACAACGTTGTGTTGTGTTTCTTCGTACGAGTTAGGCTACCGGAGGCCCAATTACCTCCCCCCTTTCCCCCAATCCATGAATCCCCACCAATCCTCAAATTCCTAATCCAGAAAGCCGGTAACGCACTTGTCGCCGATTATTGCTTACCATCAGGTGATCCGTCTGCTCGTTTACCAGCTTATCCCATAAAAAAACCGCTACAACCTATAGGGGAACCGCGCGCTAGTAGTTAGTTATCATATAAAACATTCTTAATAAATGCATGGTAATTTTTAATTGTATTCGTTAGGCAACAGATTATAATATTCTGTACAACACTCAACTCTATGTATAAACTATATAACTGAACTAAACGGTGTAGTTAGTCCTTCACCGGGTTCATTCAAGCGAATGAACATCAAAGCGGACATTTTCACTAATTATATTACAGTTCACTCATCTTTTCCACGTGGACAACGTTTTGGGATGCGAATAACACTATCCCAACATACATGGGGTCCAGAGTCGTATTATCCCTAAGGCAAACTAAGCAAATGTTAGGGCGCCAGGGTGCAGAGGGGCGCCACGAGACGCGAGGCAGCCTATAGGCTTGAGGCGGGCGCATGAGGGAACGAACCTGCTCACGCCCCAGCCTTCGCAAGAGACACTCTGGACGTCGGAGATCGCGCGACGATCTTTGGCCACCGTAGGTGCGGGTTTGACCAGAACCAGACCCCTGCGTACGGCGCGTCACGTTCCACTCGGGCCTCAAAAAGCCTCAAAGAGACCAGAGTGCCAAGCACGAATAACTATCGCATTCGTAACGTAATAGTATCGAGCGCGTTCGGCGCTCTGATTGGCCGGCTCAAGTGAACCAACCAATCAGAAACTCGCTCGATACGGTTACGATACGAATGCGATAGTTATTCGTGCTTGGCACCCACACCGCCACACATGGGGCCCAGTAGGGCTGATGCCCGATACGGAACTGCGGAAGGCCTAACGGGTTGCCGGGGCTCTGGCCCGAGAGCAGGAGTAGGAACGGGGTGGTTTCTAGTCTGAGTCTGACTTTAATGTGCATCTGTGCTTGTCAATGGGGCTGTCGATAAAGGGCGCCCTAGACGGACATAATACTGACCAGATTGGCGATATTATTATGTTTTCGGCATACCCACGTAATAATTTGACGAGGAACTCGACTCGTTTCAAGCCATGTTAGACGCTCATTAAACATAATAATTTATTTAGAATGTCTCACGAAAGTTACAATACAAATTGGCGATATATTAAAGAAGGGCCAAATTTAAAGTGCCCGTAACCAAGGAGTATGTATGAAAAGATTGATGACTGTTGATAAAGCGAACGAGGTATGTAGGAATCGTAGCAATTGGCGTTCCATAGTTTCTGCCTGCCCCCATGGGAGACGAGAATCAATGAAGTTATGTATTTATCGAGGAATCGAAATAATTCTTCTTTAATAGATACTCAAAATTATAATTCTGCAATTAACTAATTATTTAAGAGTAACTTGACGTGCTGCCGTCTGTATACATAACTTCAGAAACATTACCTATAGTACAAAGGATTACAAAACAAGTTCTGCCTGAATTACTTTCAGTGAAGTGGAACTATACAGCATAATATAAAATGAATGAGTAATCATTCATTTCCTGAATTTCAGACGGACTGATTACCTATTATGTAAAAGATTTACGATTTAACTGTCTTATTGATTGGAAATTATGGATTTATTGCTAGGTACCTGGTACCTGAAACTCGGTGAAAGTCAACTGATGGCCATGTCGTCATAAAATTTATTTTGTTGTATATCGTACAACTGTCTACTTCGGCATGGTTTATCCTGCTCTGCTCGGCTTCTATTGGTCATAGCGTGATGTCTTATAGACTATAGCCTTCCTCGATAAATGGACTATACAACATAAACAGATTTTTTTCAAATCGGGCCAGTGGTTCCAGAGATTAGCGCGTTTAAACAAACAACAATTCTCTACAGCTTTATAATAATCCTTTCTCTGAAATCGTGGCATAACCATAGTACTTTTTCCTGTGTCTAGGCTGTGTTTACAATATAGGTATATCTATATGAATATTAATTATTTATTCATATAGATATACATCACACTCAAACCCGTAACAACCGGTTACAGATATATCGCAAACTTCAAAATTAAGGAGCCTTGTACTTTTCCTATTAGTTACTTAAAATCGAGAGTTACTTCTTTCTGATTTAAAACAGTTTTGTTTATAATTCAGCACTAAGCTATAAATGGGAAAGGTCAAGAAACTGGTGTGGGTCAGACCATTTTAATGTAATTATGTAGACTTTAAAGACTGCCTTGTTGGCCGAGTGGTCGAAAGTGCGAGTGATGGGCAAACATTGCCCTACCCGGGAACCCGAAACCCCTCGTTTCGGGTTCCCGGGTAGGGCAATGTTTTATTAGGCTTTTAAAAAAAAATTCGCAGTAGTAGCACTGTTCCGGGTATATGGCAATAGGCTCACCCCCTACATGGGACTCATAGTAAACATAAATAGTGGAAAGTGGGTGTTACTTTGTAAGGTGTATTGTGGCATTAAGTGCCGTAATGTGCATCTCTGCCTACTCCTTCGGAGATACGATCTCCGGCCACCGTGAGCGCGGGCCTGCGGACGGCGAGCATGGGTGGCTCGCCGCCCACCAGAACCAGACCCGATCGTATGGCGCGTCGCCTTCAGCGCGCGCTTCAAAGAGCCGTCAGACCACCACGGATGGGGCCCAGTAGGGGTAATGCCGATACGGAGCCGCGGAGGTTGCCTGGGCTCCGCCTCGAAGGTGGGTTTTAGTCAGTAAGAGTCAGACACTCCCTCCCGCCTCGCCCAGGCGGGAGCAGTCATTCGATTATTTTTCCCCCTTAAAAAACACCTTCGGAGATAAAGGACATGATTTATTTATTTATTTATTTATTTATTTATATGATGTTATGTTATGTAGACTTTAAAGCTGATACAAAGCATATTATCGACTAACATCTTACCTCTCAATCTCCTAGCCTGCAGCACAGGATTTTCATACTGTGTTCTTCTATTGATGTGGTCTACGTAATAAGAACCGTATCGTTCATCCGTCACTCTCTCCCAGCCAAAGGGCAGTTCATCTTCTCCACATTCACCGAGGGAATGTTTCCGGACTCTTGCTAATCTCGGGTCCAACCAGTGCGACGTGCCTGTGTTGTGGCTGAAAACAAACTTTGTATTAAATTTCGAGTTTAATGTTTGAGAAGATTCTCATGCATGAGAGCGCGGGTTCAAAACCTAGCAACGCCAAGTACCAATGTGACATTTTCCTAGTTATATTTTATACTTCTTAAGATTATCTAGACACCACTGATAAATGGCGAAGGAAAACATGGTGAGGAAACCTGGGCTTATAATCTCTAATTTGACTGCACGGTTGGTGCGGTGGCTGGGCAACCGGCTGCCGTGCAACGTGTCGCGGGTTCGATTCCCGCACGGGACAACACTTTGTGTGATCCGCAAATTGTTGTTCCGGGTCTGGGTGTCATTGTGTATGTGAACTTGTATGTTTGTAAACGCACCCACGACACAGGAGAAAATCCTAGTGTGGGGCAACGTTTTTTAAAAAAAAAAAATTATTATAAGTTTGTAATCGTCAATCCACAATGAGCAAGTATGATTAATGCTCAAACCTTCTATGTGCGAGAAGAGGCTTTTCAACAGTGGCCACTTATAGGCTGCTGCACTTATAGAATCACTACGGGGTCTTACATGGAGAAAGACTTAACGTAACCCATAACAGTTGGTCAATGCAGATCGGCAACTTATAATTGGAAATAAATATATAGGTAAGTCTAATAGACATTTTTACGAACCACCCTAAATACAAAACTATCTTTTAATTTAAAGCATAATCTAGAACTTAAACTAACTCCCTACTTGTACTGTTAGGTGACATTTACAGATTGCTCCTCGCTTTTTTATTGTAGGTATTACTTTTTCCATCGAATTGCAGCTGAGTGCACGGTGCTAGGGGCACGGGATTGATATTTAAATGATAGATATTGGTTAAGTGTCACTTAGTTTAGGGATTCCTAAAAGAGAAGTCGGTGAACATGGACATAAGTTGCTTCACAATGCTTTCCTTCAACAAATATCAGAGGTGTCTAAATTAACCTTAAGCCTGAGCTTAGAGGTATCTAAATATCTACATGTTTAGAAAACCTGAACCAGGTTAGCAGGCACCTTAGCTATCAAGCCATTAAGCTTTCTTTATAAACACAATAACTAATGGCCGTAGAAGACTGAAATATTGTAGTTCCAATTAGCTCTGTAAAATCTTGGAAAGCATGATTATAATATTGAATATTTCACATAACTTCTAATGAGCAGGAAAATAAATAAGTCACAACTAGGAGGAATATTTTAGTAGGTTGTTTATAATGACGAGGGCACTATCATGCAGCTCAAAAGAATTCAGATACATAGCTAATTATCTTAAATCTAAGAATAAACTGATTGGTGAACTTGACCTGATTGTTTCTTTCTTATGAAATTTACCCAAATCAGGTTTAAATTACTTTCATGCAAGTTGTTATACCACATAGTAATATTGGACATTTGAATGTCATTTTATTTAAATCTTGACTGAAATTTAATGAAACTGCTAATAATGTACTAAGCATGCAATAGAAAAATTATAAATAAATCATATGATAGTCCAAATTCTATACAAATATAACATACAAATAGTCTTATTTCATCTTACATCAATGCAACTTATTTTCTAGTAGTAAAATAACCACTTACTCAATAAAATAAACTTCTCCTGATGGTGTGAATGCCTTTTCCCACATTGGAGGCAGCGGTCCAAGGTTATATTCATCCTCATCCTCTCTTTTAAGCACTGCATCTCCTGGTCTGACACCAACTACAGAGCCACCAACAGTGCCTGCAGTTCCTGAGCTATGGGTCGAAATCCCAGCTGAGGACAGTCTGTCCGAGTCCACAGAACTCTGAGCCATTGCAAATATTTAAAAAACTAAACAATTTTTAACACATTTTCCACAAAAAAAACTTTAATTTCACTCATAACACTGAGAGTTCGCGCCAATGGCAAATACAAGACACTAAACTTCTAAAAATTCAAATAGAGAACACTGCTTGTTTTCCTTATCTTCATAGATAAATGCTTCTTTTTTTGTTCGTGCCCTCCGCAATTTACTCATCGATATGGCATCTTTTAAAAACAAAACAATACAGGAATGCCAGCGATCATTCGTATGAGTCATTTTGGGACCGACTTCTCACTGACTTGTCGATTCGTGTATTTTTTACCTGCGCCATAGTTAACTACGTAACAAATAACTGGATTTTAATTAGTATCCGTCGGGCAGATTGTTAACAAACGCTATGCACTTAGCTCAATGCAACGTTATGTAGTGCAGACAGGTGCATCGTAACGAACATCCACGATAACAATATCGTATCACATTTCTCACATTCACTAGACTGCCGTAACGGTAAATGGTCACAAAATGAATTCTATGACATGTTAATGATAAGTTCACTTTCTCACAAACAGGTAAACTGAATCTCTTTATTTTTGAAAGTGGGTGCAACAAGTGTAAGCACCAGCACACATCTACAGATGTTTGTTTATAGCCACAGCAAGTATTCAATTAAAGGTTGTTCCACTCTTTATTGAATTAATGACACTCGTTTTAAAGATTTAATTAACACGATCTATTAAAATAGCTTTGGTTTTCACTTTAAATACGTTTCTAATCACAATTTTTAATAAAAACATCAAGTTACTATGAAAAAAATTAAAACGAACTTTACTGAAATCGAATACATTACACTAAACATAGACAAGTCACAGTAGAGATGCACCTGTTGGAATTTATCGATATGACCGTGACGGGTGATTGAACGTCGTTAACCATTGATCATTTTTTTAGAAATATCCTACCTGATAATATTTTCACATAAATAGAATTTACGCAGATGACCTATCCTTTCCTTTTAACGTAACGTAATATTTTCAATGCTACATTTTATTATTTAAAATTAAAATGATATTTTTTAATCGATTTGGCGAAATTCCGTAGCAACTCTTTATGTGACGTTCCTTTTCACGTAGTTGTTTAGCTTTAACAACTTTTTTTGTTTTATCTCTAAAATAAGAAAATAATACTAGTTTATTTTTTGGTTTTATTCGAAAAATAAATTCTAAATGCTTTATTAGCAGAAATCGTAATCTCAAAATACCATAAAAAAACAAAAGTGTGTTCATAATGACATTGCTTACCAGCGTTGCCGTTGGTTAACATAACGTTATTAGTATACTTTAATAGATGGCGCTGTAATTTTAACTTACTGAAATTTGTTGAACCTCATAATAACAATCAATACATTTTAAAATTACAGTAATTAAGGCATATTTTATTAAAATGGTTAGGTATATTAGTATACCCACACTTATTTCATAAAGCTATACGTGACTTGTGACGAGATTATAACTTCTAAGGCTTACCTACATATGTCCAGTGCAGATTTCATTAGACATTTTGTTCAGTAGAATACCAATAAGATTTTATTACGTTATTTCATTATGAATGACACAGTGACAGGTAAAAGGAGTGCTGCAGAGTGATCCTCAAAAAATAAATTAACAACATCGAAATCCTCAAAAGTTTTGGACAATAACTTGTGTATTGTGTCACTGTTTTCAAGCAATCTATTTTTACTAATATCGTATTCCTTTTTAAAAGGACGGCCATGCAACTTTTACATTTTTGATGTGGCGGGTATCCATGGGCGTTGCTGATATCATCAGGGTGCTTACTCTTGAAACCAATCGCAATGTGAATACAATTTCAATTCAATAAAATCTCAATAATTATTCAATGTCAAAACTACACAACCCCTATCGTAGCTGTTAAAATAGCATCCAGAGTACGGAATGTAAAGCCAAACTCAATATCATTTAGTTTATTCAATATCTACGCAATACGGATGCAATGGGCGCTAGTGTTGCAACTCAAGAGTACGATATTTTACAATACCAATGTCGATCGATCGGAATTGAATTCAAGAGTATGCCCCCTAGTCATCCGTCTGCTCGATTGACATAGTATTCTATAAAAAAAAGGTAGGGTGACGTCGAGTTTTGACTGTAATAGATGTAGTGATGATGATGATGATGAAACCAGACTGCCTCGGTCGAGATGTGGCAAGTGCGACTACTGGGCAAGGGGTCTTGGGTTCCGGGTAAAAGTATTACGGGGAATTTATATTTATTAAAAAATCTCAGTAGTAGCACGGAGATTGAATCGTACCCGGTATATGGCAATAGGCTCACCCCCTATTACATGGGACTCATAACATAAATAGTGAAAAGTGGGTGTTACATTGTTACAGTGGCATTAAGTGCCGTAATGCGCACCTCTGCCTACACCTCCAGGAATAAAAGGCGTGGTGTAATGTTATGTTCAAAAACCGGGTATTAGTGTTGTAAATATATCTTTTGACGTAGGTTATTAGGACAATTTTAGGTCATTACCTGCTTGTTACCTGCGCGTGCGCCTAAATTCAGACACCAGGTTAACTAGCGGGCGCGTTGATACTTCTTGTCAACATAATGAAAATATCTAGAAATATCGTTAGGTACGTAAACTGAATAGTAAATGTTGAAATATAAAATTAGTATTTAATTTACCTACATGTAAGTACTAGCTGTTCTCCGCGACTTCGTCCGCGTCTAATTATGACTTCTGACAAATTTCGGATTTTTAATTAGTCTTCTCCAAGGTTAATTGAAATGCTGTGTAACAAATTTCATCAGAATCAATCTAGTTAAGTATATTTATTGTGAAATGTAAACAACACCAACATTTGCATGATATCAAAAAATAAACAATCCCACAGGGATTTTGCCCGTATAGTATTCATTCCCGTGAGGTTTCAGTGATTAAAACTCCATTTGAATTCCAATCAAATAGCTACCGAGGTTGGAAACTATTATGATTCTTACGCACTATGTGAGTAGCTGCTGGCTAACCGCAGGATGCGGTTGCGAATGCGGCCAGCCGGATCGCGGGCAGCCGCATTCGCAACCGCAACGTGCGGTTGAAGAACCGTTGCGATTTGCGGTCATGTCACGCACGATCCATTTCAAAGATGGACGTGGAAGAAGTTTCAGCTATTTACTGTACACGTTACATAAAGAAGAAAAAACGAAGAAAGAAGTACTGGAGGCATCTTTATTTGCAAACACGTGAGACACACACTCACTCAATGGCGGGCAGCCGCAGACTGAACCGCACAGTGCGTATAGCAACCGTCCGGCTGGCCGTCACTCGGGCCGCAGCCCTCCGAGAGACCGGAGCGGTCTGCGGGTAGCCGCGTCGCAGTGCGCATAGAAATGAATATTACGTACATAAATTGTGCTTGCGGTCAGCCGGACGGCCAGCCGCAATGCGGCTACCCGCATAGTGCATATGAACCCTTAGGCGTCATTTCCCGAGTCTCAAATTATCGTTGTAATGGATTGCACTCAAATAGGTTCAGTGGTTAATAAAATTAGTATTCAGCCTCTTTGCATACCTTAATGTGAACATTCTGTAAAAAACTAGCCAAGTCTCGATGGAGCCGCTTGTTCATCTTAAAAAAGTTATGAAATCTAGACAAAGTCGTGCCAAGTCTAGGGTTCCTTACTACAGTTTCTTTACTATTATAGTTGTTAATGTTTTGTGACTTGGCCGTCACAGATAGGATAAGGTACTCTTGACCGGTGAAATGCTTGTATAGTATTAGGTACCTACTTTTTTAAGGCGGGAACATCATCCAATGACTCCTTCCGCCTTGGGTGAGGCGAAAAGAAGTGTTGTTTTTTTTATAGCGTAAGCCGGTAAACTAGCAGACGGATCACCTGATGGTAAGCAATCGGCGCCGCCCATGGACACCCGAAACACCAAGGCGTTACAAGTGCGTTACTGGCCTTTTGGGAATTGGGTATTTGTGGATTGCGGAGGATTCGGGGATTCGGGAAACGGTGACTAGGAAGGGGGGTTATTGGGCCTCCGGTAACCTCACTCACACGACGAAACACAACGCAAGCGTTCCTTCACGTCTGTTTTCTGTAAGGCCGTTGTATCACTCTGGTCGAGCCGGCCCATTCGTGCCGAAGCATGGCTTTCCCACACTAGTGTCAGACTCCTACTGATTAAAAACCACGGTAACTTAGTAAGTTGTCCGCAGCTCCGGGTCGTCCCTACTGAGCCCCATCTGTGGACTGGGCCCATTGTATATTCCCCACTGGTATCCCTAAGTCGACTACTCATATTTAACATAGAATGAGCAGTAGCGCTTTCTGAAACCTGGTCTGCTCTCCTTAAGCTACGATCTGCAACCGGTCTACAAAGTATGAAGAAAGATATTCTTTAATTGTCAATTCGAACTTTCGAAGTGAGCTCGATTGCATTCTCGCCCGTCATTTGTCGAGATTATTCTCACAACTAATGCTAATAGGTTAGTTCGGTTAGTTTGGTTAATCCATGGCGGACGGTGTTCGAGTTCACTTAGATCTTTCAAATTGAAACTTACAGAATAGCCTAACAACGTCAGTGGATGTTAAAGTGAATAAGATTGTCGTACTTACGAAATTAAGATAGGTATTTCTACACTGGTATCAAACCATGGGTATATGAATCTGCTTCATTGATAAGATCTGAATGTATTATATTAGCTGAACCGGCAAACTTTGTATCTACTGCCTAAAAAATTCCAATTGCGAATTCCGATTGGGGTGACGCCAACTTGGTCAGGTTCAATGCCAATAAAACCCAGTCGTCATCAGGCGTGTCATCCACTGGCTCCTACTTTTCGAATCACTCAACTTTGGCTCGTATATTGAATAGAACAGCGCAATTGGTTCCTACCAGTACCTCAGAGGTACTTCACACCGGAGTTGTTGCTCACTCTATAACAAGCACAAGTTTGGTCGTGTGTGGAGTACTGCTCTTAGGATGGCTCGGCTAAATACCAGCTGGAAGACCTTAAATCTATTGATAGACGCGCCAAGAGGCTCATCAATGATGATTCGCTTGTGGAGGCTCGGCTTCAAAGCCTCGCCTTTCGGTCTTCTATCGTACCTACTACCAGACGAACGGAAGGGCGCCACCCTTATATGGTGAATATTCTGCCCATTCGCAGGAAGCGTTTCGCGTTAAGCTTCCTTATGCGAACCGCTAAGGAACGGAATTCCTTACCGGAATCCCGAATGTGTTCCCGAAAAATACATTTTTAGTATCTTTATACAAATAAGTCTTCAGTGAAAAGGTTGCTCATAGGTAGGCGTGCTCCATCGTCGGCGTCAGCCACAATGATATTATCGCTTACCATCAGGCGAGATGGTGGCCAAACATCAACATTTCAAGGATACAAATCTCACTTTTAAACCTCCCCTGGACTTCCACGAACATTTCAAGACCAAAATTAGTCAAATCGGTTCAGCCGTTCTCGAGTTTTAGCGAGACTAACGAACGGCAATTGATTTTTATTTACATAGATAGATAAAAATAGACCAAGAAATAGATTATATTCGTTCATTCATGCTCATAGGTATAACAACTTGTATGAAATTATATTAGAGTCAAACACATTTTTTAGGTCAACGACATGTTTCTGTAATAAGATAATTTATTCGTGTGCATTTTTCACGTTAAGATATTTCTTGACGTATTTTTAAATACATTCATGTGCGTCATTGGATTTAAAACATATTTATTTCTTTTCCACTCACCGAATGTTTTTAAAAGGACGTGCAGATTGATTGCAAGTTATCTACCTACATGTGAATTTAACAGTTAAAATGACAAAAAAATAAAGCAATTAATTCTGTGCAATAAATCCGACTGTGAAAATGCTTCAGCACTCAGTAAAGTCTTGCGACAGAATTTTTGTTAGCGTTTGTTATGTTGGCGCATTCGTAAAATATTCGTTTAGCTGGTAACACCTAAAAATATCCGACGCCACAGCTGAAGTACTCATAAATGTCAATTTTTTAGCGGGAAACCCGTCTGTCACAGATAAAACGGGTAAGCACTATATTTTTTTTTTGTTCAGCTATTAGTGAAACCGAATGTTCAAGCGTTAAGTAAAAAAAGATCGCATTATTCAAAATCTTTTAAGAAAAAAATGTCTGCGGTGGGATTATATTATAATAATAATTCAACTGTTTTATTTTTCATTCACGAGTGTCTGTGGCTTGTTTTTTTTATATTAATGCCCCATTATATTTCAATGGCCTGTGCCTAGAAATACTAAAAAGTTATTTATTTATTACGCAGAGTTGTTATATTATGAGTCACTATTACTAACAAAACAATGGTGAAAATTTGACTTATTACAATATTGCACACATATTTCATAACAATTTAAAAATATATTTGCACTATTTTTGACTCAGATAAATCTCGTAAAATCAAAAATACTATAGCCTGGCAATTTTTTTTAAAGACACTTTCTTTTCTTTTGCTGGTACTTATCTACATTTATATCGTTTGTTTTATACAAATGTATCATTTTTATAATAACTATCG